TTGTTATTGTTGTTCTTTGTGAATTATGAATCGTTTTGTGTTTCGATTGTGTAACAGGGCACAAGAACAGTTATGGTACCTTTCACAGCGCCATAAAATGCTCGCCTGCCAGATCCTACACGCTGATAATGCGCATTTCTCTGCTACTCGAAGTCACAAAAAAGCGAGAGAGGAAAACGAAGGAAAGAAGCAAACGTTAAAAAACGAATCATCTTGTTGTGTTATTTTATCACCTGTGTCAGTTTTATTGCTTTCTCCTGTGGGCTGCTGTCCAGAGCAAAAAGATCGTGACAGATCAGCGATCGCGCCTAGTTTATTGCTTCCTCTAAGCAACTGGGTCCTCAACTGGAACTGAAACTGGAACTAGATATGTTGACTGCATCCTTGAGCAGGTTTTTTATTGGTAGTTGTAAGCAAAGGAATTGATTTATCGTTAAGTTTATCGATTTGATTAGTAATTTTGAACATAAATCAAAGAATTGTCTTATCGATAAGTTTATCGATTTGATTCGAACTTTTAACATCAGCTGGAACTGCAAAAGGAACCACGAATTCCGGCAACTGGAACTGAAATTACTAAAAAAGTATAATGTATGCTTGGGCAGGGCTTGTTGTTTTTGATTTATCGAACTGTTGCTTTTCCGATAAGTCTATCGATTAATTTGGGAAGACACCAATCAAAACTAGAACTAGAACTTGTAGCTAAATGCTTTTTAAACAAAAACCGTTTTATCGATAAATCAGTCTATCGACTTACCCATCGATACTTAAACGTTCGATAAATTTATCGAACAGCTTAATGATGTTGGCAAACGTCAAGTTCGTTCGTTTGTTTGTTTTGATTTTCGCAAATTACGTTGCCCGTTGGCTATTTGAAATGGATGCCTCGTGTGTCCGAGAAAACGTGATGGATAACTGGCAAGTGGCGCCTCTCTTGACCAGCTCACTCACTTGGCGCTTCTTCCTGTCTGTTTGTGAGAGAGATAGAGAGAGAGAGAGAGGGGTGTGGGGGCGGCTGGCAACTGATTAGAGGGAAGCACTTGCATACGTGCCGGCCACAAGCGACCGGCCCCATTCATAAAGTCATGCAACAATTGGCAGCCGGAGCGAACGGCTCCTGACTGGAATACACATTTCGTGTGCGATATATATATATAGATATATATTATTTTAGCCGGCGCGTTTTTCAAAAACCAAAACAGAAACAGAAACTGAAACCGAAACCGAGACCGAAATGAAAACTCAAACTCATGTCCAATAGGTCCATCAACAGCCGCAGCACGCACTCGGCCGGGCACACGCACCTTTATATGGCCAGGCCGCAGTTGCTCAGACTCTTGACTCCAGCTCGGGATACAACATGGGTGGGGGTTGGGAGGGGGGTAGTGGGCGCCTCGCACGCATCGTTGCACGTTCACGTCTGCTTCCACGTTCACGTCCGAGTCCACGTCCATGGCCATTGTCCTCGAGGCATCATCATTCGCACGCATCAATTTCCGACCTACGCTGCACGCTCGACTCCAGCTCCGTCAGGCCAATTGCCAATGTCTGGCCGCTGTCTGCACGTGGATTTCGATTTCGATTTCGATTTGTGGAATCGGCTGCCAACCGGAAGCGCAGCCGTACACGTTCGATTTTTATGGCAAACGGGAACGGGCCAAATGGGCAGCTCGCGTTGAATTTTAGTTCCTCATTCATTGTCTACGCCTTCACCTAAACACTCACACACACACACACACACACAGTCGCACGCACGCCCACTGGCATAGCGCCACCCACGCACCCCGCCCCCCGCCCACTGTCCACAGTGCAGCGCCTGCCGCGACTGGCACTTGGCACGTCTCCTTTTTAAAATTCACAATTGCCGCCAGCGAAGCGTAATTGTGGGAGAATTCGCTACGCCAACTTGTCTGCCACTCTCCCTCTCCCACCCCCCCCCCCCCCCCCTCTCTCTCTCTCTCGCCTACTCCCTCTGGCACTCTCTTTTAACTCTGCAACTGGTCTCAAGAAATCGATCACGTTTCTACACATGTTTCACTTGCGTTACGTTGCGCTTACGTAATTTCTGAAGCACAGTTACGAGGACGTGGCAAAAACACAACAGCAAAAAGTGCAAGTCATTGATTGGCTGCTCCAATTAGAGCTGGCACAAACAATCGATAACAAAGGCACTTGCTAAGATTTGAGAAAGTGCTCCACTTATCGATTAATTGCAATGTTATTTAATAACAAAATTTATATAGATAAATATTATAATATTTATATAGATAAAGTTAATTTAACAAACTCTTCGATGGTTTTCTGTGGATTTTGAGATTTATGATTAATTTATGCTCTTTTAAAAATACTTATAATCAACCATAGCTACCTTCATAGGGCAATACGAAAAGCATAATTTCGAAAAAGAAAATGCTTTTACGTTTACACAAACTCCAACAAAACTTAGATTGAAGGAAGGAGTTTGTTTCTTAAATTAAGAAATGCATTCGTGAGGTAGAAAACAACTTAGGAAATAACTAATTGAATAAAAAGACACATCGTATTTGATCTTAGAAATTACTGGCTAAAAAGAAAAACTTCTTGAAACAAGAATTTTGTTTTCTGGCTTAGAAAATGTTTAATTATTTGTCAGGATTGCGGAAGTATTGACATTTATGCTGGACATTACATAATATTTTTAATTTGATCAATTTATGAGCATATTTAATTTATTATAATACAAATATCTATGTATATTTGTACATAGGTACACAATCACAAAAAGGCATTCGTTCTGCCTAATTTAGCCGTTACTTAACACTCTTTGTTTTCACTATGCACACTGGTTGCCGGTTGTAACTGTTTGTGGCTGGGCTGAGAACAAAATGGCCGACGAGAGACTTTCACATTTCGTGTTGGCCCATTGATGAAATTAAACAATTTCTGGGATTGCTTGAAAATGATTATAAACGCATAAAAACCAGGCGCAAAAGTAAAATTCAAGCCGCTGGCTGTCGCTGTGCGAGGACGGAATAATAAAAAGCACCTCCCCTCCTCTCAGCCGATTTGTTGGCCAGCGCAAAATCCTGGCCCAGCTACCTGTGTCTCGCCCCGCCGAGCACGCACGCAGGAAGGGCTCGTAACAGTCGCTGCTGCTGGCCAGGCTCGGTAGCTGGCTCCAACTCCGAACTTTGCGGCTCAGTTTTCTTTTTTGTTGGCTTTGTGCCTGCTCCACCATTGGCATCTTGTCATTGGCATTTTGGTCACATACACAAACACACATAAAAAGCGAACGACAGACAACAAAACTCCCACACGAGCGCATGCAGCAGGCGAGAGAGAGAGAGTGAGAAAGAGAGAGCGATAGAGAGACAAACAGCCGAAAGAGCCGCTAAACAAATTCCCAAATGTGTAAAGAAGTAAACTAATTGCTGCGCGTGACGCAGCCCCAACGAAAACTGTGGATACCAGCTAAGCAGTATATAAAAGAGTGAGAGAAAGAGCCAACGTGTCGGCACTCCAAGCCAGTGCATGCGAGTGCGTGCGTGTGAGCGAGCGAGCAGGCGAAACCAGTTTTAGTTTACAATACAAACGTCTGCACGTACACATAAGCGCACACACACCAGCATAAACATACAGAGGCAGCTGCGCTGCTTTGCTCAGTGCATGAGGCACGCTCTCGCTCGCACGCATTGCTGTGCTCATTTGGTATGCGCGCTATGTTGATTCCGATTCGACGGCAGTCACGTCCCGCCCATTTGCACGCACACACACACACACACACAACACCCACACTAGCGGCGCCGACTACAGAGCTGACTACGACGACGGCGAAACGAGAGAGCTTGCGGCGAATTGGAGCGTGAGGCTGCTTAAAATGCTACTGGTGCGCCCTGTACATGACCAGGCGCTGTGTCAGGTGCACACACACACACACACGCACGCACACTGGCGCCGCTGCTGCTCACGTTCGTTGGCTCGCTCGTTGCTCGTCGCTTCGGCTGCTTCGTGTCGAGTCAAAGATGTCACCCCCAAAAAATAGTCTAGCTGTGTGCGTGACTCTCTCTTGCGTTCAGTGTGCGTGCGTGTGTGTGTGTGTGAGTTGTATGTGTGAGGGGGTCTATGGACAGCGCTGCCTTTTTTTGCCTTACTTTGGTTTTGTTCGTGACGTGAACGTGACTCTGAATTATTCTGCACGTATTCGTCGCCCGCAACGGACGTACTACGTAAACACAACTCTCGTAACGCGCGCCGCAGTTCTAGTTTGTCAGCTTCTGCTGCTGCTGCTGCTGCTTCCTCTTACGTTACTTTCAACGCCGTTTTGCTGCAGTTTTCACGTACGCTGCCCGGCCGTGCAACTGTAGCCGTACGTATCCGTATCCGTGTGCCTCTCTACGTGTGCGTGTGTGTCTGTGTGCGCCACCCTGTGCGTGCGTAATTGGCGCCCATTTGTTTGCAGGCCGCGACGCGACGACTATCAGCCACTGGAGCTCCAGCTCCAGTTCGAACTCCTCCGGCTGCGACTCCGGCCCCAAACTCAATCGCGCGAACGGAACCAGAGCCCGTCCAGCCATTCAGTTGCCAGCTGCAATTGCGTCAGCGACGTGCCGAACTCTGCTGACGTGCGAATTAACTGGCCGCCGCGTCGATTGCACGCTAATTTGAATGCCAATCGAAGCTGCGCGCCTGACGGACAGCCAGACGGACAGACATTCAGTCGAATCGTCGACGTTAGTTTTACGTGCGTATTGCGCCCACGCGTCTACGTGCGTGTGTGTGTGTGTGTGTATGTGTGTCCGGGTCCAAGGATAATTGAAGACAGCAACTGACACGTACGCGTGCTCCAATTTGCCAGACAGACAACAACACGCCGCAAAAAGGATGCGTCGTTGACCTCCTGCCAGCCGGCTGCGTGTGTGAGTGTGTGTGTGCGCGTGTGTGTGTATATGTGAGAGAGTGTTAAGTGTGCCAAAACAAAACAAAGCAAACGCCTCCAGTGCAATACAGTTCTATTGAAAATGTGCCACAGTGCTAGTTAAGCAAGTTTGAGTGTTACGTTAATCAGAGAAAACCCGTGCGAGGACTAAAATGTTGCCCTATCAGGCGGTGGCCATGGACTATGCCGGCTATCAGCGGCAGCCGACGCCGGGTCATCCCGGCAGCCATATGGTCGGCTCGCTGGGCATGTCAGCGGTGCCCTTTAGCCACTCGTGGATGGTGCCCACACAGGATCTGTGCGGCATGCCGCCATACAACAAAATGCCCAATCAACATCAGCCGGGCGCGCCAGGAATGCACGCTCAACAGCAACCCATCGAACCGGGGTTAGTTGACACGGGGTAAATTGCAAAACATATACAAATACATACCTCATGCACAAGTCAAATGTTCAACTAGTGCTTAAATTGCATAGTGTTGTAAATTGTTAAATGAGTTACGGGAATTTACACAGTTTATGCCATAAATCGCAGATTTCTAGCGGTATTTTGGACCAGAAGTATATCCAGACTTTTTTTATATCATAGTTCGAAACTTGCAACAAAGTTCGTATTTTAAAGATTCTTCTATGTCAGAAATCTCTCCCAAAACATTAAGTTTGTTTGTATTGTGGAATATCTTATTATATATCCATTGATATCAAGTCTTATCTTTTATCTTTCAATTTAAAAGGACACAATCAAAAAACAACAAATCTGTTTGTTAAAGTGTATTTCTATTTATAGTGAAAGCTTAATCCAAGCGAACTTCAGCTTGAGTCCCAATCTTAAGTCCCATTTTAGAGCGAATCCCTTCGCAGCACGCTCTGTAGAACCAACTCGAGCATTATTTTGTGTACTAAAACTTTTCCTATATTATAAAATAAATTGAAATTTGGCGTGACATCTTTAAATAGCTTCTATTTCGTATTCGTGCATTTAATGTTAGCATATTTTTACATGGAAATATGTTAAGAAGTTTTCGTTTTGGGTTTTCAATGATTCCCTCTACACTTGTAATTTCTGTGATATATTTTCAAGGCAAGCATCTTCTTCACAACAAATCTTTAATCTTGTTATTATTTATCATTTATAGAACATAATGTATATAATGCTTGAAGCATTAAAAAGTATGCAAGAATCTTTGGGAACAATCACTTCATCCTACTCCTTCACTTTAGTAATACTTAGTTATTTTGCCTATTCCTTATTGTGTTTCCAATCATCTAAGTTTTGGACTTACTTTGGCGCTATTTTTACGCCAATTCCAAATCATTTTCTTTGTTTTAATTTCTTTTCTTTTGACTTTTAATGCTAGAAATGCCATAGAATTATAAATGATTTAATAGCTTTGACTTGATCTTTTCATGCTTTCCATATGAATACTTAGTTTCAATTCCTTCTCATAAGGTTTCCTGCTTGTCTTCTTTCAATTTTGCATACCCTGCTTATATTATACCCTGTTTATATTTCCCACTGGCATTACGATCTCAACGAATTCTACATTTATTTAAAATTCGTGCCAAATCCATCCAGAAGTTACATTTATCTCTTATCTAGTTTGTTTTCGCCACTTCTAATTGGACCCAATTTGGAATCATTTTTACGACTATTTCGAATAATTTTATTTGCTTTTCCCCGTTTTCCACGAACTGTGATTACATAATGTCAGTCAGCTAGAGTTACAGTTATCCCGCTGTGTTGTCTGTTTGGCAACAAAGCAAACGACTTGAAGCAACTGATAAAGCCATAACGGTACTTCTCACAGCCCATAAACAATGGCTCGAAACAATCTTATCCTTTTATGATGACAGTTTTTCTTTTCGCCTTGTGTGCGCGAGTGTGTGTGTGTGTGTGTGCGTGTGTGTGTGAAAGGAAAACAAAAAGAAAAATAGCTCAACTATTTTCTCCCATCTTACCCTTATCGTGATCTGGTCTGGTTGATTGGCAAAAAGAAAAAAACCGCAGTAGCGCACATAAGATCATGTAATCCGCTTAGGTTCTTAATTCGCCAGCGCATTAAGTCCTTAATCAAATGACAATATTGTGCCCCTAAATACCCGAAACATTACCTTTCCCAGCTAATCAAGTGGAAGTGCAGCTAATACAAGCAAAAGAATCGAGCGCAGCTTTCACACAGACACAGCTCACGCATGAGAAAAGCTTTTACAGGCGCTGCAGGCGCCCAACACAGAGCTTTCAAAGCTCACCAATACAACAAAAACGTTCGCCTCGTTCCGTTTCTCATTTTCGCTAATGACGTGCAATTTACACGCCAAATTGCAGCCCCCGTTTGTGTTTTTTGTGCGAAATTAAAAAAAGAGCAGACAAATCATTTATCAAGGCGACACCTTGGCGTTTGCGCGCCGTGACAAATGTGAAGGGATCTTTTGCACTTCCTTTGGGCTAATTTGAATGGCATTGATATTGAATGCAGCAAAGACTGATGCTTCTCTGCAATAATGTAATTTGCTCGACGTGTGGCAAATTGGCTAACAAAATTGTATTTAGTCAGAGTCGAACAGTTCCATTTCTATAGGTTCTTTGAACTACAAGTTTATAAGAAAAACTCAGGTACTTTTATTCTTTAAGCATAATTTCAACACAACAACAAGCTGAGATTTAACAAACTAATTAAAAATGTTGTTGGGATATAAAAGAGGCCAAAAACTGGCTTGGCCCGTGGCAGACGCATGTTGTACGGGTTTCCATACGCGCTCTTTACGCCGGTTTCATTTTAATTATCAAAAATATTTTTATAACCAAACGACGTTGAGCACAGATAAGCATCAGAGCGTTGAGAGCAGACTGCAGAAATCCCCAGCCACAGACACAGACACAGACGCAGACACAGAAATCGTGGAGCGCAGAAGCCGCTTCGGCTTTAATAAAGTTACACAAAACGAGGCTCGAGCTTGTGATGAGCGCATTTACAGATGCCCCACAGACATTAAAATAAATGTAAAAGGCCACAAAATGTACAAAATGAACAAACGCGCAGCCGAGAGCCAGCTAAAAGATCATTTAGGCAATGGGCGTGCCTCAAATACCCTGCACTTGGCAGCGTAAATCTAAGGAATAGCAAAGGCGACGTGTTGCCAGTGTTGAGTAACATTCTATTATACAGAAACCAATGCTGCACAGTTTTTGCTTCTTGAACCTATGGCACGAATTTTCTCAGGAAAGTCTATTAGATTCTGGAAACTAAAAGTCCTTATTGTTATAAGAATCGTTGAATCCTGATCTGTTTATAATAAGAATGTTATCCCAGCGACATATTTATCTATATTTATTGTAAAATAATCTTTTAAATATTTTTTATTAGATGTTGAATCTTAACTAGATACGTCAAGTTATTTTCAAAAACTTCAAAGCTGTTACAAATATCAATAAGCCCCCTTTATGTTAGGGTATACAATTTCACTGCAAACAGACAAACACAAAAACAACAACAAGAATACAAAGACGAAAAAGCCCGACGACAACGAAAGATGACAACAAACTTAAATTATGAACGCTTAAAGCCAAGTTTCTGGCGAAGATGATGGGCCAGTTGATAATAGCAACAGATCCAGCGGCTGGCTTTGAGACCCGCGCTGCTCGCTTGCAACAGTTGCGCAGCTGCTGAATGAAAAGTCTGTGCATTAAGGGAACTCAGATCGAATCAGTATCAGCAGAGCGGCATCTCCGAGACGAGCCACATAAAAGTGAGCCAAGTAGCAAGTGGGGCAAGAGCGTCGCGGGGCAACTTTTGTTAAAATATGAAACAAACCGAATACAGATACAGATACAGATACAGATACAGATACAGATACAGATACAGATACAGATACAGATACAGATACAGATACAGATACAGATACAGATACAGATACAGATACAGATACAGATACAGATACAGATACAGATACAGATACAGATACAGATACAGATACAGATACAGATACAGATACAGATACAGATACAGATACAGATACAGATACAGATACAGATACAGATACAGATACAGATACAGATACAGATACAGATACAGATACAGATACAGATACAATTACATCTTTAAATACATATACAGATACATAGACAGACATTTATAGATACAAATGCATATTCATTCAGAGATACAGATACAAATGCAGCCACAGATACAAATACAAACGAAAATACAGATACAGACACAAACATCCACTGCAAACAGTTTGGACAATTGGACAAAGGAAAGTCTGTAGCGCATAGAAAATGAGCCTCAATTTTTCTAGCTGTATAGAATAAGAGAATAAGATATATATGGTATATAGAGAGATCCATTGAGATCGTGTGAGAACTATTGTGAGACACCACGAAAGAGACACCCCGACTCCCAGATAGCAACTCGTCCGCTGAAAGACTGACAAATGGCTGGCAATTAGTTTGGATCTGACACCATTTCGTCACAATGCCGCGTGGGCAGACGGCAGACGGTCCCAGGGCCAAACAAATTGCCAAATTGACAGCTCGGGCGACGACAGGTGAGAGATCCGCTGCCGCTCTGGAGGATCTCTGGCCTAGTCTTGGCTCTGGCATTCGTCAGTGTCTACTTATTACTATTGCCCATATATCAATATTTATTTATTGTTGTTGCTTGGCTAATCTCTGTTCCGTTTGTTGCAGCATTCTGGAGCTGCGCAAGGAGAAGTCGAGGGATGCGGCACGCTCGCGGCGCGGCAAAGAGAACTATGAGTTCTACGAGCTGGCCAAAATGCTGCCCCTGCCGGCAGCCATAACCAGCCAGCTGGACAAGGCCTCCATTATAAGACTGACCATTAGCTATTTGAAATTGAGAGACTTTTCCGGACACGGTGATCCGCCATGGACGCGCGAGGCGTCCAGCAGCAGCAAGCTTAAAAGTGAGTACCAAAAAAACCAAATAAAATTAAATAATAAATATAAGCTATGGGCATATTTAAATATTAAGTCAAGTCGCTGATTTCATCCTTTAAATAGTCCGAAAAGTTCCTTTTAACATCAGCAGAAATGCAGAAGAGTTTCTTTTATGCGAAGCAAATGTCTTCTATTTTTTCATATTTATTTTACTTCAGGATAAATTAAACAAATAGAGGTTTTTGGCTTGAATATTTCTCTCTAAACAATAATTAACTTTCTTAACATATTATGTTAATTTAACTATCTTTTATGCCCGTCTAAAATAGCTCAAGCATTGCCAGTTCCTTCTACAACTTGTCAGCTGGCCGACATGCTTATCGGACACTTTAGTTGGGCCGCGACTGTCAGTGCAAAGTGAAATTTCATTGCTCATTTGCATACGCGACTGTACGCTGCGCGAGCGTGGGCGGCCATATTGGACGCCATTGTTGCGGCGAGCGTGTATGTCAAGAGAGTGCAGGGGAAGGGAGGGGAGGGGCAAGAATGAGCGAATGAGCAATAAAACCGAAAGCAGGAAACACATTTGCCTAAATTTTACAGTCGCGGCCAGCCGCTTAGGTTCAGTGAAATCAAAATTTGTCAACTTTTCTATGCCAACAAAAAAAAAAAAAAACACAAAAACCAAAGCAAAATATGCGCGCGCACCTTAAAAATTGTTGAAGCCAGCAAATTTATTGGCTTTACTTTTATTTTGGGCTTTTGCTTATGGCCCGCGCAGCGAGAGAAGCGAGCAGGCAGCAGCGAGAAGCGAGAAGCGAGAAGCGCCATTGACGTTGGGGGCCGCGCGATTTGTCAATTTGCATAAAATATCGTTATTAAGCGCAGTTTATTGTTTATTTGCTGCGCATGCGCAGCCATTTTTGTTTTTTTTTTTTGGCTGTCTCTCCTTTTATTTGTTTTTATTTTCTTATAAAATTTTTGCTGGGGCATTTTTATTGTCATTGCCGTTTGTCAAAGCTGTCGTTGTGGAATTTCAGAAGGCCAATCCAACTAGACAGCCCCACAGTCCCACAGTCTCACAGTCCCGGCCTATAAACAGGCACACTTTGGTCATCTGTCAATGGCCCATTAGGCAGTATTTGATCGTTGTGGAATATCGGTAAAATCATAGATGATTAACCCCAAGTGTAGGCAGCTATTGCAGCTTTCACAAGAGCCATAAATGATGCCCGATTTGGCAAAAAGACATTTGGCCTAAAGCACTAATGGCCCAATAACTGATTATAGTCGTAATTGCAAAATGTCTCTGACTTTAAATGTTGTCGCAAAATGAAAGCTCAATTAAGCTAGAATTCGATAATGGCTCACTTTATTGTTTAGAATACCTTTTTAACTAAGCTTACAGCCAAAAGTAAGACTCCTCTAGTCGGTATGCCCGACTCATAATCGGCTTAGTTATGAAGAAGTTATGGAACTCTTCAGTTTAGAGAAGTTCGGATACAATAGTTTAAGAAGTAGCTAAAAGATATAAGATACAAAATCTTAGATATAATATTAAGATATAGATTCTCATCTAGAAGCAGAAAAATATAAAAGATAAAGCATTTAAGATATAGAAGCTCATCTTAGAGCAGAACTAACCTGATTTCTTACTTAAAATGCCTTCGCTCGGAAATTCTTAAACTTCGCTCAATGTAAGGCTTTGTAAATTCTTCAAGATTGAACACTCAAAGCCAAATCTTGGCCAGAATTTGCCAACTGGTAAACGTTGCCAATTGCCAGTTGCCAATGGCCATTGCCACGTCATGCTTCGCGCAACGCTGGCCACGTCGACGTGCAGTTATTGTCACGTCAAAAGCATTCCAAGCCCAGACGACAGTTGGAGCCCAGCTCAAGGTGCGCTGCCAAGAGACAGGCTGGAGCTTGGCAGAGTGTAGAGGCGGGTGAGAGGGTCGGGCCATGGCTGGCCGGGCACAAAGGCAATGGCAGCTGGCCGAGTCGAAAAGGTAGACGGGGCCACTAAAAAGTAATCCAAAAGCAATGGGGCGTCAAAGAGGGTGGGGGGAGGGCGTTCAATTGGATTATTATGCGAAACTAAAACCCAAAAAGGCAGCAACAAGCTGCGGGCAATAAAAAGCACTTCAATTTGACCCACAGAAAACCAAAACCAAAACCAAAAAAAAAAACGCTCGACAAAAAAAATTATTATTAAAGCGTGGGGCGGGAAGGTCATTAAAGCCACAGTTGTTATGCTGAGCTGCCCCGCCCTTGTGCCACCCCCCCCAGCCAGCGCACACACATATGGCCAGCGGAAGCGGAAACTGTTTGCCAAGTTGGCCAGCCAGCGAAATCGCTGGGGATTTGCGCACACAAAACGGGCAACGGGAATGGGCACTTGGATTTGGACTTCGCCTTCGACTTGGACTTGGTTTTGGGTTTGGGTTTGGGCGATTGGCACTTGTGCGAGTTATGACCTGAGGCTGGGTCAGTACTGAGAGTGGGGGGTGTTGCTTGTGGCCCGCCCATAATCGTAAAATTCTATAATTGAATTAAATAAATATGCTTCGAATGGGCAGCAGCTGAGAAAATATTGGCTGGCCTCTCATATTTATGATGCGCCGTGGTTCTCCACAGAAATTATTGGATTGTTTTCCGAGAGGGTGCAGCATCATTTATGTGTTTTTTGGTCAGCAATATCTGCTTTATCGACGGAGTTTCACATGATTATGGTATGCCACATGAATTGCAGACTAGACAGACTTGCAGACATTCTAGATCAAGAAACTAAGAATGTGCTAAGAATTCAATACAAGACAATAACTATCTATATAAAACGCCTATTTCTTTTTAATTACACTCAAAAGGCTGGAAATAGTTGAAAATTCTGTTAGTATCTTATACGATCTGTTTTCTAATGTTTTTTGTGTTCATAAAAGAGATATTCTCTTTAAGAACAAAGCTTCCGCTTAAAAAGTTAATTTATAGCATTTTGAAAGATTCACCAACACGAGCGGAAAATGTGTGGAATACGCGATAAGCCGAAGGTGGAATTTTTTCAAAAATTTATTTTATGGCAAATTTCTTAAATGAAAAAAATATAAATTGTGCATTAATGCTTGCCCAGGCCTTGTTCTGGGTTGAAGTAAATATAACATATTGAAAAAGAAAATAAATAATGGTACTAAGAGCATCTAGACTTCGGTCTGTTGCAGCACACCCTTAGTATACTCTACCTTTTATTGTCAACTTTGTTCGTTTTTCCCATTCATTCGACTTTAACTGAACCACTTTGCATTCGCTTGTTGTCTTCCAGGTGCAGCCATTCGACGCAGTCCCGCCGTTGATTTGTTCGAGCAACATCAGGGCACCCACATACTGCAGGTAAGCAGCGTGAGAGAGAGAGAGAGAGCGAGAGAGAGGGAGAGAGAGAGAGGCAGAGATAGCTGCACTGGCAGCCATCTTTTGCCGAACCCATGCTTATGCAAATGTTTGTAAATGGAATTTATTTTATTCTCTGCAGTCGCTGGATGGCTTCGCCTTGGCGGTGGCAGCGGATGGCCGCTTCCTGTACATATCGGAAACGGTGTCCATCTACCTGGGTCTGTCGCAGGTGGAGATGACGGGCAGCAGCATATTCGACTATATACACCAGGCGGATCATGCGGAAATTGCCGACCAGCTGGGTCTCAGTCTGACCAGCGGTGCGGGCGGCGGCGGCGGCGGCGGGGGAGGAGGAGGAGGCGGTGGTGGTGCTGGCAGCGTCAGCGGTGCTGCTGGCCTGGCCTCACCCACATCGGGCGCTTCGGATGATGGCAGCGGCACACACGGTACGAACAATCCTGACGGTGAGTCGAGTCCGAGTCGCAAATCACACGCAAATCCTGGGCATCCTGGGCGTCCGGCAGCATCTAGTCTGCCTTATAAATGAAGCTTGAAGAATCTATTGGCTAACTCTGAAACTCTTTTGCCTTTTTGCAGTGGCCGCCTCCATGACGCAGGCCTCGACCAGCGGCTACAAGGGCTACGATCGCAGCTTCTGCATACGCATGAAGTCTACCCTAACCAAGCGTGGCTGCCACTTCAAGTCCTCCGGCTATCGGGTGAGTTTTGTCAAAAGGCAAAAGAAAAAAAAACACGTGTATTTTTACTGCCAAGTTCCCCCAAACGTTGCCCGTGTAGTCTAGTGTGCGACGTTTCCGTAGTGTATTCAAGCACGGTTTATCTTTTATTTATACTTTATTTATTTTTATTTTTTTTTTTATTTTTTATACGATTTGGTTACGAGTTATGGTTTGTTTTTGGTTACAAGTAGAGCTGCTAACACCTAGATTTGTTCTGTCCGGTTTTTGTGGGGCGATCGCTTTCCATGTAGACTAACCGTTCTTTGGTTGACAAAATTGTCTCTGTAAGCATTTGTTGTGCATTCTGTTTACACAAATTACCATCCCATCCACTGCTTATCTACAGGCCAACGATGCAACCAGCAATTGCAACGGTAGCAATAACAATGGTAAAAATGTTAAGAATCCGGCCTCAAACTATTCGGTACGTATCAATTGAAATCAGTACAAAAACGCAAGGCAAAACAAATTTCAATTAAAACTATACAAAAAATAAAATAGTTTACTTCAATTTTTTTTTTTATTAAATAAGCAAACAATTTCGGCCACATTTCGTTAAGGCAATGCAAAACTGATTTTAGATTGATCAGTATCGAATATATATATATATATGCATATATACAGTCTACAGTCAGCTACAACAATACAAAACGCAACGCATCCAGGCTTCATACAGCGCGCAGCATTTGCCATGTGCGAGCTTTTCAATTGCCTTTGCCTCTGTATTAGTGAGCTTTCAAAAGCTGCTGCACTTGGCATGCGGCGGCCGCGTCGCGCGCTCGTGCGTGCGCCCTGTCCGTGTAAAAGCTCGGCTTAGCATTGGCAATTGCTGCGAAAGATTATTTTTTCTTTTAGGCTTTAAGCGCAGCTGTTGTGTTGGACTTCTGAGTTCTAATACGGCGCCTTGTCTTGTTGCCTTTGCAGGTCGTTCTGCTGCTGTGCAAGCTGCGACCGCAGTACACCTTCTCGCACACACGCAAGTCGCAGCCCCCGCTGCTGGGCATGGTCGCGTTGGCGATTGCCCTGCCGCCGCCGTCGGTGCACGAGATACGCCTGGAGTGCGACATGTTTGTGACGCGCGTTAACTTTGACCTGCGCGTGGCGCACTGCGAGCCCAGGTGAGTCAATTAACAGACACTGAATGAGCTTTTACTTAAGTGTAGTCTGTTTGCCTTGCAGAGTATCCGATTTGCTGGACTATACGCCCGAGGATCTGGTGAACAAGAGCCTCTACTCGCTGTGCCATGCCGAGGACGCCAATCGCCTGCGCAAGAGCCACACAGATCGTAAGTTCAACTTGTCAAGAGCCACAATTGAGCTGCAGCTCATGCCCAGCTTCTCTTCTAGTGATCGAGAAGGGTCAGGTGCTGACCGGCTACTATCGACTGATGAACAAGAGCGGCGGCTACACCTGGCTGCAGACCTGCGCCACGGTCGTCTGCAGCACCAAAAACGCCGACGAGCAGAACATCATCTGCGTCAACTATGTCATAAGGTGAGCTCAAGAAATACTTAATCCCGGCAGACCACTAAATAAATATTCCTCATGCCCTTTCAGCAATCGGGAGAACGAGAATCTCATACTGGACTGCTGCCAGCTGGAGCCAAGCGTGGACAGCATCAAGCACGAGGAGGGCCTGGGCAACGACAAGAGCAGCGGCTCGCCCGGCGGCGATGCGGCCGGCGAGGGCAATGCGCATCTCAGCGCGGGCGACATGAAGCTGGGCCTCAGCTCGCCCAAAACCTTGGCCGACCCGGAGGGCCATACGCAGCGCAGCGGACGCGGACGCAATGCGTCCACGCACGGCAGCAATCTGAACAGCCTGGCGCTGATCAAGGACAGCCCCACGCCGCTGGGCGTCGAGGTCGAGGGCGTGCTGCCCGCGACAGTGGCCACGCCCGTGCCGACGCCAGCGCCCGCGCCCGCAACAACAACGGCGGCAACAACAACAAAGAGGAAGCGCAAGAGCAAGGCGACGCAGCAGGCCGAGGAGCAGCAGCAGCAAGCGGATCTGCAGCAGCAGGTGGATCAGCAGCAGCAGCAGCAGCCGCTGAGCAAGCTGCCGGCGCTGGAGCAGCCGCACAGGGATGCACAGCAGCCGCGCAGCCGGCTGCCCAGCATGGTGGACGAGCAGCCGGCGGGCGCAGACTCTGCCGTCAAGGATCTGGAGCATGCCATGTCCAAGCATCTGCCGTCGCCCAGCGCCAACCAGCCCAGCACAGACTTCAGCGCGGATGCCCTGATCAAGCATCAGCAGCATCAGGTTCAGCAGCAACAGCAGCAGCAGCTGCAGCATGATCCCAACGAGAAGAGCAGCACCATCCAGTGGATAGGCGCGCCCTATCAGCAGCCGGCGCCTATGCCGGCCACCGCGCTGCTGCGCCAGCTCTACGCCAATCGGGAGAGCGTCATCCGGGCCACAGCTCGCCAAACCCCAACGGGCGTCTTCTATGGGGAGCAGCAGGGCGGGCCGCTGCCGACGCCGCCGGGCAGCGAGTCCTCCTATGAGAATCAATATCTGCAGCTGCATTCGGCGGCGGCGGCCGCCTCGGTGACGCATCCGGGCGGCCAGAAGGCGCCCGGCGGCAACTCCACAGACGCCTTCACCAATCTGGTGTCCACCTACGGCGGCTATCACAGCTCCATTGACTACCACAACGCGATGACGCCGCCCAGCTCGGTGTCGCCGCGCGACAGCAACAACTCGGCCAAGGCGCCGGCCGCAGCCGCTCCGCCGCCCGGCCTGCTCGTGGGCAGCAATGGGGGCTACGACTACGCGGACTCGCTGCGCGGCCAATATGCCACGCCCGTGGATGGAGGTGCGCCCGCCGCCTCGCTGCCACTGAAGCCGCAGGCGTATACCGCCGGGATGCATCCGCATGCGACGACCACGACGGAGGGCGGCGTCACCTACAGCAATCTCGACCAGCCGCAGTACTTTGCGCCCCACTCGAGCTTCCATCTGTACCACAAGGGCAGCCCGGCGAGCGCCTGGTACTCGACGCCCTCCTAGGCGCGGCACGACCAGGCAGCCTTCGAGCTGCCCGCTTGCCAGCAAAGGCAACAGCAGCAGGAGCAGCAGCAGCGGGAGGAGTCGCAGGAACGTTGGGACTTTGTCGGCGCACTGGGCAAGGTGGCGCGCATGTTCTTTAATGCGCGCAAGGGCAACCACTAGACAGGGGACGTGGAAGGGATGAAGCGGGAGCTAAGCAAAGCCAGATACCATTTAAAAAAGCAAGTGTGGCCGGGATTAAGTGGGAGGATCATGACAAAAAGTGAAACTGCAAAGAATCAAAGCTTCATTTTGAGGGAAAAGGTAGGAGGGATCAAAGCCCTAGTTGAGAGCACAAGCTCTAGGGGATCGGGCCCCTTCGCTGAGGCGCAAACCAGCAGGAATCCAACTCCCACTCAGAGGCTTAAGCTGACATGGATCAAAGCCCTACTCTAGTGCAAAATAGCAAGGATCAATGCCCCACTTTTGGAACAAGCTAGTAGGGATCAATGCCCTTTTCCTTTAATCGCAAACTAGTTAGGATCTACGGCTCCTTTTGGAGCACAAGCTAGCAGGGATCAAGTCCTGCTCTGGCGTTAACTAGGATCAAATCGCAACTTTGCAACTGTAATCAAGTAAGGATCATGCTCTGAGGCACAAACTAGCAGGGATCAAAGCTCCACTTTGAAACGCAGGCTATCAGGTAACAAAGCCCCCTTTTAATCCCAAAACTAACTAGAATCAAAGCTCCACTCTAATCCAAACTATCAGGGATTAAATCCCCACTCTGAAACATAGAAAGGCCCCCCTTTAAGGCGCAAAACTAAACAAGATCGAAGTCCCACTTTTGGCCATAAACTAGCAAAGCTCAAGCTCCCCTTTTTTTTGCCACAAACTAGCCAAGATTAGGCCCCCTTCAGACGGAGACTAGACCACAGCCCCCCCCCCCCCCCTTCTCCTAGTGAAAACTAGCAGGGTTCGATTTCTCACTCTGACTCTCACTTCGCTGCAAAATGTACATAGAAAATTCGAAAAAAGAAGGCAAGAAAAAACTCAATATTTCTACAAAAAAAAAAACTATAAATTTATTTAGTGATTTTTTATTAAATATTTGGCTCAAATGCGAATGTTAAAACATTTAATGTTGTTAAATATTATGTAAGCTTGTAAATTATAAAATAATATTAACAAAAAAAAAAAAAAACGGAAAACTCACACGACAAAACCCATTGAAATTCAATTTAAAATACTCGGCAATTATGCAATTAATTAAAGTTAAAGTTAAAATTAAAATTAAAATTAAATTAGAGAAGACTTGGATAGTGTGCCAGCAACAAGTAGAAGAAGAAGAACAACGCGAACAACAATATGAAAATAATTAATTAATAATAATATGCATAAAATAAACATAGTTCTAGCATTTAATTCAACTCGCAGCACGCTCGTAATGAAATCAAAATGCTTATGCACTAACTCTAATTGTTATTAATTATTTAAATTAATTGTACATTTTTACCAACTACAACTATCGTATATATATATATATAGATATATATGGATACAGTTAGTGCTAAAAGTATGATTAATATTTAACATTTTTACAACATATCAAATGCTTCCTCCTCTAGATTACGATTACGCATTCAGCTTAATTGTTTATAACAGAAAATCAAATCTATTTCTTGAATTCAATTAGTTTTACTTAAAATAAATATATATGCATATATATATAAATACTTATATATATATATATATGGATATACCTCTAAGAGTTCTGCTTATGTATTTTTGTGTTACGTTTTTTGCCTAAACTTAAACAAATTAAAATTAACATTAATAATTGCATATATACATACGTTTATGTAAAATACTTAAAGCAAGTCTATCAAATTTTTAGCTATTAAATGTAATTTAAATTTTGTATAAATCAATTCAAGTACGTTTTCCATAAAAAGGCTTAAATATTAAATATGATGATAAACACAAGCAAATCGAATTTTTATAGCTGAGCACAGTTACACTCAGAGAAAATTTGGTTACGCATATTTAAATATAAATATCGTGTATATCTCTCTCTTTAACATCTTAAAGCAGTTACACTCAGAGAAAATTTCGTAAAGAATATAAATGATATTGTTTATTTTTTTGTTTAACACCTGTAAGCAGATACACTCAGAGAAAATGCGAATAGGAATAGAATTCATATTCCGTTTTTTTATGTACAGCATATTTCAATTTTACACTCAGCGAAAATATGGCAGCAATATAACTTATGTTTATTTTTTTTTTTTAATTTTAAAAATATGTTGTTTTAAAGTTCTTCGATTTTATATTTAAACGATTTTTAAGTAAGAAATACGTATAAGAGCAATATTCTTGCTTAGAACAAGCGCAGTGAAAGTACAATATTGCTTAAAATAGGTATTGTACTTTAGTGTAACATTAAGGAAATTTAGCTGTAAAGAGAAAATCTTTATATAAGAATTTAGACACAGACTAGTTCCTGATTTGAGTAATCATTCCCAATTTTTCTGTAAGTGTAGAAAAGTGCTGTACGTATATACAGATGAATGTTTTCTCTCTCTCTCTCTCTTTCCCTCTCTTCTCTCCCTCTCTCTCTCTCTCTCTCCCTCTCTCTCTCTCTCTCTCTCCCTCTCTAACTGTCGTGTTCGCGCTCTCAGTTTTCAGTTCTGCTTTGTGCCTTATTCGTAAACGTTTCGCTGCATATATTTGAACACTTTTAACATGAGGTTTTTTTGTCAACTAAAATCGTATCATCGTTTGATTAATACAAAGAACTGACGCACATGTTCCATTCTGACAGGCGAGACACATCGGGCGCAATGTCCATTAGGTTTTTTGATTAACATAAAAAACGCATAAAATTCCAATTTGCCGCATTTGTTGCGCTCAATTCCCGTGTCCGGTTGTGGTTATTCTTTCTCTTCTTTTCTAATTTTTTTTATATCCTTGTGGCTGTCACATTTTTGTGATGGCTGACCAACAGCCCCCGACCCCGACACCACAGACACAGGCAATTAATCATCATCCAACTGGGCAATATGGAATTTAAGTCAATTTTATTGCAGCAGCATTTTGTGAGCGTGTGCGTGTGTGTATGTGAGTGGGCGGGGTGGGTGGGTGGGTGTGTGTCCTTGGAGTTGACTTGGCTCACTTGCCCGCCTTTTTGCCCTTTTGAGCTACTTTTTGTTTGGCTGCCTCGAGAGCTTTTAGTTGCTCCTTTTGCTTCTGCTTGTGGGCCACCACCTGTTCGTCCATTTCTTTGGTCTCCTTTTTGGGCGCCTTCAAGGGCTTCTTCTTGCCACCCACACGACTGGACATCTCCAAGTAGATTCTACTCAAATTCCAACAAGCTTTAACAAATATTTCATTTTAATTGCACCTTTATCTGTCATATAATTAAATGCAAAGCCTGCTTTGCTCCTCAGGGCTTACTTATTGTAACATTAATAACAATTATATTGTATTTGAAATTTAAATCATAGCGGGCACATTTCATAGCAATGAGCAAACAATCGTTGCCCAGTGCTGCTTATCGATATGGCACAGAAATATCGTTTGACTCAGCAGTGTGCTCATCAAACTATCGTTTAAGTAGATACATCGATATATCGATATAGCATATTGCTGCACTTATCGTCGCAGCTAGCATCACTAGTTCGTCGCTGTTCGCCTTGGTTTGTTCGGTTTCGGAAAAAAAATTTAATTCTATTTTATTTTGTTGATTTTGTTCAATTATTGAAAGTACAATTGCTTGCGGTTTCGTTACAAGTTTCATATGTAAACCCGGCTCGTATAGCAACACCCAAGTTCCATAACTTTAGTTCGTATGCGGCTTCGCTCTGCCGTTCCGTCTTTTTCGTGTGTTTTTTTTGTTTTCCTTACAGCTCGCAAGCCGTGTGCGTGTGTGTGATTGTTCAAACTATGTGTGTACTTTAATGCCTGTGTAAAGTAACGAAGGAGCCTTACAAATAACATGTGTTCTTGTTTGCTGAATTTGTTGCTGTTCAAGAAGAGTACATACGATACACGACGTACCTAAGTTCCAGCGAAAGAAAAGGTGAGCGCTGCAGTTCCTGTCAAAAGCGGTTCATTTAACTCTTTTTTTTTATTGCTGGCGTGCCAGCCTATGTGTGTGTGTGTGTGTGAGTGCGCTTATCTGCAGCCGCAGGCAGAATCAACGCCACGGCGCTGCTGCCCTTTGATTATTATGATTTTGCTCTCTTCCCGACGTTCGCTCTCAGTCACTTCTCAAGACGATGCCGCCTACTCAACAAAACTCAGTGTCGCAGCGTTTGATTTGCTTGAAACTCAGTCTTGTAAAGAGTAAGAGATGCACTTTTACTCTCGCGCGCACACACACACACACACACACACACACACAAGCACATCCTACAATAATCCCAGGCAAGAAGAAGAAAAGTAAATGCAATGAAGAAACCGCTTGTGAGTGTATGCACACAGATGCATTTGTGTGTATGTGTGCAATTAATCATTGCATTGTGTTTACAAATCGTTTAATTAATTGAACTAGTTCTTGTTCTGGCTGCCGCAGTTCTCTCCCACACTCACTTTTCCTCCTACTCTCTTTCGGCGCATTAGGCTTAGCACAATTTCGCCGCAAATGGGATTAGTTGTCTTTAAGCCGCCGCGCTGTGCACTGGTGGGGACAGCAGCAAACAGTTTAGTAGACAAATTTGTGTTATTTGTTGTTTTTGTTTTGGTTGCCCCCCTCTAGCGTTTAACAGTAAAAGCAAAAAGTGAAGAGCTAGCGTATTGAGCATCAAGAATATCACACAAGAAGCAGACAGCTCTTTCTATGTGTGTGTGTGTGTGTGTGTTTGTGGTGTGCTCTTTGCTTGGCTGTGTGTGCGTGCAGCCCGGGGGCTGCTTGGCTCTGGGGTCTACTGTTGCATGAACACAAAAATAGCATAAGAGCATCTCGTTGTCGGGGTGCGTGTGCCGTTCGTTCGTTCGTTCGACAGAAGCAATAAAAATTAAAAGGCAAACAGCGATAAGCGGTGCGCACCCAGCCTGCCCCCTGCCCCCTGGCCCCTGCTCTGGCTAACGAGTGCACACATGGCAACCCTGACGCATAACGGTAAAGCACATAAAACCAAACAAATGCAAATGCACAGACGGCAGCACAACAACATTATTGATCCCTCTCTGACACGGCAAATTCAATTGTGCACTCTTCTTCCTCGTCCCGCCTCGCTCTGCTCCCCGTGCTTATCAGTTTAAATGGCCGCACGTGGGGTAGCTCGGACTCGGAGCTTTTTAAAGGCTGCCCCCTTTGACCGCTTTGACTTTGATAAGGGTTGCCAGATAGCTAAAAATACCGGCAGGCTTTAAAGCATGGATGGAAAAGGGGAACAAGAAACTGGGGTTCGCTTCGCTTAATTAAATACCCCAGGAGGTATTCATGATAATATTCTGATCTGATACACCACATAATATGTTAATATTAGCCCAGCTCTTTTCTCGACCGATCGTTTCTATATTTTCTATGTAATCTATATTATATAGTAATACTATAGACGGTTCGATGTTAACAAGTGCGCCCGTACATGCTAAAAGATCGAACGTTACATAGTTGGTGACAAAAGTAGAGTACCCTTAATGAGGGCATAAAAGCGATTTGACTGTTGAGTGATGTGCCCTAATTGAAATTGAGTGGCAGCTCCACCCCCCGCCCTACTCCATTTCCCATTTTCACCTGCCCATTTATGTGTTTTACAGTTTCAAATTACGTTGTGTGACAGGTTGAATGCCTGCGTTTTCCATTACGCACTCCTAATGTAGAGTACCGAGCAGAAAAGCTGCAAACTAAATTTGTCCACCTTTTGACCTCCTGGCAGCCCAGTT